TGGCAAGGTGAGATACTTTGTCAAGTTAACCGAATAAGACAACTGCAGACAGATCATGGTGCTTTGTTTCAAGGTGTCTCCACCGAAGCGCCAAACCAACGTTTGGTTAACCGAAATAGTTTTGGCCTACGCGTGCAGCCTCACAGCAGTTAACGAATTAATTATCAAATTGGTGGGGTTGGTGGCGTTGACGACACTTTCCCATCGGCAAATATTTCCAGTAGGCCCAGTTTAACTAGCAAGCCATGACCTTCCTTTAACAAACCTAGCTATGTGATAAAGCCGATCAAAATGAGGCCTACCACTAACGAATAAGGCTAAAATACACCACCAGTAACGACAAGATTGAATCGCAAAAGTACTCAAAAAGGAAGCTATTTTGCGTCAACTTGACAGAGAGGCGAGTCATAAAACCAAATTAGAGGAGATCAGCAACTCTTCCATTGCATTGACACGATAGTGCAAATTCGATTCACACCTCTTAACACCAGAAGTGCTGCTTGATGCTAATGCCCCTTTGAACCACGTCTGTTGTTCTTCGAAACAGGCTTGTATTAAAAACGTGGTGGAGTGTGAATTTGCTTTGGGGCAAGTGCTGGGAAGAGAATAAGTGTTAAGGGAATTAAAGTCAAATATTTTCGATTTTGCGAAAATTAAAGCCAACCTGGTAGGTAACAATGCCGCCAGGTAACACGGCTAACTCCTGACTTCGCGACTTTTTACTTTGTCCTCTGGTGACGGCATCGTAAGATCCTCTTCCGGCTCTGCTATGGTCAGAGTCGCATGTACTAAGCCACCAAGTGGTGTCAACGCTTAATGCGCCAAATGTGCAACCCATTTTTAGGTGCGTTGACTAATCAGGACGATGCTCGTGATCTGGCGCCCGCTCCGCTCTGCACAATAAAGATCAACAAGTTGAAATCCTCTCCTGTCTACAATTGTAAGTTTTACCCCAATCCCCCTGCCACGTTAGTGCAAGCTTTCGTTTGTCAATTTGGTCGCCCTTATGGCATGTAATTTATAATCATGGCCAACACGTTTACCTGTTTGAGTTCTAGAGGTCGCCTTCGAAATATAATAAGGAAACAATAAAGCGTACCGAGAGCGCATTCAGCTCAATTCTCACATTAAATCATCAATCATTCCCTGAAATTCGATTCAACACAGCAACTCCGGAGCAACTACTGACCTCCATTCCATAGTTCTAACACGTTTGGGTTTACGATCGGTTGTCATTTTAGTGCTCGCACGGATTCACTTGCATGTCTGAGTCACAGAGTTAACTGCAAATTCAAATTGAAGAAGTAATGAAATCACCTCAATGCGTAGTGATCCGACATAAGTGGAACCCTAACGTTCCACCTAGACCCAAGTTTGACGCTTGTTTGCAACATTCTGAAACGTTATTTCAGCCTTTCTCGACCTCTTGGATAATTACGAACACCGAGTCGGTTTTGCGGAAGTCGAAACGCCAAAGAAGAGAAGCGAAGCTAACCGGTTTCTGGAAGCAGTTTTGAGCACAGAGACAATGAAGGGTTTCCACCGTTATTTAGTTCAAAAGAAGCTTGTTAGTCCAGACATTGCCGCTTTTAAAATGGAATTACACAACCTTTGGTTCCAACCTTACAAACGTTTGAGGTAAGCCTTTTAATTACCATTCAGTTTGTGCCATTTGATTTTTGGGTTCCGTTTAGATCCTGAATTCAAACGAGCTCTTCGTTTCTCGCTGTACAACTCCTTCAGGAAACCCTTCGGTACGATTGTCTTTGATTCGTCAATAGAATTTGAAATCGGCCTCTACACGACAGCCTTCCTGCGGTCACGCAGCCTCTTCAAAGGTAGCACATGTTGGCCAGCCACTTCCCTTAACTTGGGGCCCACGGATATCCTCATCCAGTGCCACCCGCACCACGGCAACCACATGGGATCGTGCTACGTAAAATGAGTCCACGCCTTGTTTCGGTCCCCGTGAACTGATTATGCACACTCCCAATGGCCTCTTCTGACCCTCTAATTCCTTCATACAACTTCAGATTTCTTATTGCAGTCCAACGTAATCTCAACTACTGTGTCTTGTCAGTAATGCGTAAAATGTGACGACATCGTGGGGGGAGGGAGATCATTAGAGCCACTTACATGAGGGCGGTTGAATTGTCAATTCAGTGTCGCCCATCACATGGCGCATCGTGTTGTTAGCGCATATTCATGGGCGCAAATGCACTGCCACGTACCGGAGGCTGTCAGCTGAGCAGGTGATGAGGTGAACGTCGTATGTTCAGCACTCGAGCACCGCCGAATTCATGAGTTTGCTCTGGTCACGTCAGACGATCCATTGAAGTCACCAATAAACTAAAGGTTGAACATTGATGTGGAACGTGTGTATGCACCAGGTAACGCTTGCGAAGATTATGTGAGATGGTGCAGAACGCCCTGGGCGTTACTTCACTTCATGGTACTTTAGGTTATATCACACACTTTATCAGCATTTGATAACTTGAACAGCGCCTAAAGATGAACCACAGAGCGGATTACACACACCGACATTTAGTAGTGTGTGCTTAGTTGTAGTTCAAGTTACCCCTTCAAAATGCCATTAATATGTATAAGGCAGTTCAGATCAGATCGGATCTTGATAATTTGGCAGTGTCAATAAGCAACTGCACGCAGTGAATCACTTTCGTTCTGTTCGATATCTTATGTCAGCATTTTCAGGCCGAACTCTCAATTTCAGCTACTAGTTCAATCACAACGAATAAGCCCACATATTTTTCATGAAAAGTGCTCCTTTCTGTATCCTGGTGTGGTTAATTCATCTCAGATAATCCGATTTAACTCGTCAACACGTCAAGGGTAAACCACAATTACCTAGGCATGTAAAAAGGCCGGTACTTTGCGTATTAATCCAGGTGGTTCTGCGAGGAAATTATTTCTATTGGTTTGAGGTAAATATGTAGCCGATAGAGTCATAAGGAGTAAGCTTATCACTGATCTCACCGACCGCAATGACATTGACGCCAACTAGACGCTAGCATGATTGCACTCATTGGTCCCTATTCATTAGCAAAACGCTGAGTTCGAGGATGAAAGTTAAAGCGCGTGGATGTCATGCTCCACCCACACAGGAGGCGCTGTGGCTGACGAAGGTGCAGACACCTTCGCACGTCATCGACAGGCGCTAACACCCACGTAACCGTTCAGGCATTCAATGGTAAATATTAGTACGCTGGTTTAAAATGCACTATTCGTTGCCTTACTTCCTGATACCACAGGTTTAATCTTACACTTTGTCCACAGTTAGACTGTCAGAGATATAACCTAAACATCGTCTGGAGACATACCACAGAGGGAATTACACCTTTGGAAATTTAGCAGTGTGTATTTGGGTGTTGTTCAAGTTCCATCCTTAAAATGCAAAAGGGACATGGCAGTACACTAGAACGTTTCGTTGTCCCAATATTGACTACGTCAAACTGAAGTTGAATAGATCTTCGCATAAGCCGAGTAAGTAAAACTCCTACGGAAAAAGTGTCACAATTGTTCGACGAGGTAGATCTAAATCTTCATGGCATTCAATTACTTTTTGCCTCTGTCCTGAAAACATGTCATCATATGACAGAAGCTGCCATAAAACACGTCTGAGAGAATCACAGTGATGGTCACTGGTCCGAGTCGGAGGTAAATGTGGCGAGTGGGTCAGACCACAAACCTCGCTTGCTTTTGACGTGGAAACAGAATTGGGTTGGAGGTTGAATGCACTTATTTCAAAAAGGAAAGAGCGGGTTTCATGTAGTAGCCTTCGAAGAAGTGGTATATGTTGATTAAAAGCAATCGCGGCTTGAGTGAATTCTCTAATTTCAAAAATAAGCTACTTGTAAGCCAAAGAAGGAGTTAGCTGGGAGCAATGTGACACCTTCCCTTCTCTTGCACCACTACCTTCTCTGTAGGTTTTGGTTAGCAATGCCTCACCAAGTTTTAAGTCCCCTTTCAACTCAACCAGCACCAATCCCTGACTGACGCTCGGTCGTTTCAATCAAGGTGTTCTCTACCTCGTACCTCACAACAGCACCTCTTCAGAAACTAGGTTTATCACAGCTAATACCGTAGGCTTTAAAGACAGTTTTGCGACGCGCGTTACTCATTGTTGGAGTAAACTTCTCCCGACCGTTGATTCAAATCATCTTTATTACGAAACCTCGTTGGTAACAACATAACCATATTGTTGATGTGTAAGCCACAAGACGATTCTAAAGCAATAAAGGACCAACTATCCCTCAGTATGCACACCCAACTCCACCAAAAATACAGTGTTTAAGTACCGATGAGAACCTGTAAATTCATCTCGGGTGTTACCTGATATCCCACTGTGGGTCGCTTACGTTCTGTCAGATTTTGATGACACAACTTTGAAGCGAAACGCAATTTACGCCACTAGTTCAATCAGTAAGAATGATGCCACTTAGTATTCGTAAAACGTGTTTCATGCAGTATCTAAGTGTGGCAAGTTCATCTAAGATAATTTAAATTGACTTGTCAACGCGTCATGGAAAAGTGTGGTTATTTCGGCATGCAGAAATGCTAGTATTTTGGCATATCAATCCATGCGATACTGTGAAGAAGAATTCTCTGGTGACATCATTAAATTATTTAGCAAGAATTGACAAATCAAGTTAGCTTGGCATTGACAGTGACGTTGCTGCAAGCGGAACGGTGACATAATTGCATTCATTGAAGATGGAAATCACAATATGTGGATGTCATGTTCCATCCACGCAGTAGGCGTTTGTAGAGACCTAGCACTACCTTACAACCCTTTAGTTAACAGCCCATAATAACTCGAGAAGAGTGGAAAAGAGGCAACAGTGTACACGACCGCGTATTGGTGTCAAAACAGCCAGGTGGTTTTGTGTGCGTATGGGCACGCGTGCGTAACAGGCAAATGCTGACAGAGGCCAATAACAAAAGGGGTGTCATTGGAACTCTCGGGTCCTCATGCAGGCATCACTCACGAGAGGTGGCTGTCAGTCCACTGCACGTTGTGGCTGACGAAGTTGCAGACATCTTCGCACGCAATCGACAGGCACTAACACCCACGTGGCCGTTCAGGCATTCACTGGTATAAACACACGCTC